CCAATCGACAGCCGGCGCTGGAAGGGCGGGAAATTCAAACGGGGGCGGGGTTGGGGCCCTTCAGGGGCAGTGCCGGGGTCCCCTCAGGGGCTCCCTCCTTCCGTCGGGGTTCAGATACCTCAGGGCTCGGCTCCTTCGGCGGTGTCTGTCCAACTGGGGGTCCCGGTGGCTCCCAGATCCGGTTCTAATGAGATTCTTCCATTTCTGTCTCTCCCCGCTCTGTGCAGGGTCACCAATGGTGGCAAAACCACCTTGACCAACAGGCTCATCAAGGCGCTCCCCAACTGCTGCGTCGTCCATCAGGATGATTTCTTCAAGGTAAGTTGAATCCCCTCTTCCTTGCAGCGTTAATTGTACTGCAGGGCAAGCCAGTTTTGACAGCTTGGGAGCCACAAGCTTTCTGGTTTTGTGGGGTTTTTTTAATAGATATATTTAATTTTTAAATGACTGGACAGGTGGGGAGTTCCTGACCTTTATAAATGCCACAGGAACTTCGTATGACCCCGCTCAGAGCAGTCGCAGCAAAACCACCTTTAAGTGTTCACAACAGATTTAAATTTACTACTGATATCAGGCAGAGGTTATTTACTGCTCATGATTTTCTCTAGATTGGGATTTCCCACCTTATTTTATTAAACTAAGAATGAGACTGCTAAATGATGCTTTAGATTTAAGCACCTCTATGCTGGTTTAAATACAGAAAGGAGGTTTTTATGGGGGAGCTTTGCTAGATCTGTATCAAAACCCAATTAAAGTATTGCAGAGATTAATGCAGAATGCCCTCGCTGCCTTCTGTCTGGGAGTGCAGAATGTTCCTAACCCTGCACCATTTCATGGGAATGATGATATCCCTGGACCCCACCAGGCGTGGAAGTCCAAGAGATGCAGGAATGGACTTGGAGCAGTTGTGGGTCATCCCCAAAACATGAAGTGCTCCAGCCCCAGCATCGTGTGCTCAGTCTGTCCTGCGCAGATTTGATCACTTAGGAGCCCTTGGGGCAGGAATTCTGTTTGATTCTCCATAAAAATCTGTAACTTCTCTTTGGAGTGAATGCCAGCATGAGGAAAGCAGTAACTGAGCAACCAAAGCGCTGCTATGCCCATCTGCATTTGTATTAGAGGAGTTCAAATACCTGTTCTTTAAAAAAAATATACATTCCAGCACTTGTTTAACTGTATTTGCACTTTAAAATCCTTACATTTAAAAACAATGCTCTGTGGTATTGTATAACAAACAACGTATCCAGTGATTAACGTAAAAGTCTTTATCCAAAGTGGTTTGAGTGAGCCAAGGGAACTTTCCAGAGCAACTTGGGATGGGGAAAGCTGGGAATGTGAATGTTCTGCAGCCCCAGGCAGTGCCCAGGGGTGGTTGTGTGTTGCAGTAGTGGCCAGGCGCTGATGGCATCGGAGGGAACTGATCCCGCTGAGGTTGCAGCAATGTTTTATTGCTCACTATATTTCAGCCACAAGATCAAATAGAAGTCGGGGAAGACGGCTTTAAACAATGGGATGGTAAGAGCAGTGTTCCCTATAGGATGCAGTAATGTATATTCCTTTCCTAAGTATTTCTTTTTCATTATTAAAAGCTTTAACAGTAAATTTCCGTAACTGTAACTTTACCAAGCTCAATCTATTTCATCCTTTCGAGCCCGTGGTGTTTGATGGTGTTTGATGGTGTCCCTTTTTCCCACCCACCCCCTTTCTCCTGACTAGTGTTGGATTCCTTGGATATGGAGGCAATGGTGAGCACCGTGCGGGCCTGGATTGAGAACCCAGTGAAGTTTGCCCGTTCGCACGGGGTGAATGTCACACCTGGCTCTAGAGAGCCAACCTCCCAAGATATCCATATATTGGTCATTGAAGGCTTCCTGCTTTATAATTACAAGTAAGGTTTGGAGAACTCTTCATGGTTTGCCAGGGAAGATCTTTAAATCCCCCGTGCCAGAGCAAAAAAACTCCGTTTTGCTAATTTCCCCTTCCTGGCTTGTTTTGAATTTCTCACCCCTGAGGGTTTTCTGCTGTAAAATGTAAAATTAACGATATAGGGCACAGCCTTGAACTCCAGGGGAGTGTTTGGAAGGGGCCTCAAAGCCCATCCAGCTCCAAGCCCTGTCCAACCTGGCCTTGGACACTCCCATGAACACAAGCTGAGGAGTTGCCCTGTCCCAGGTTTTGCTGCAAACTGATTTTGAAATGATCCAGGAAGAGCCAGGGTTGCCAGCCCAGTGCCTGATCCTCCACAGGATCCCCTCTGACCCCCTCCAGGACCAGTGGCAGATGTTTGGGTGGGGAAGTCCCTGCTTGGGCCTTCAGAAAGAAGTTTTCCATGGTTTTGAGTTAACAGACCCGTGAGGGAAGCGCTTACCCTTGGGTTGTCTTCAACAGACACAAGTCCCATAGAGGCAGAGGGATTTTTGTGGTGTCTGGGGTGATTTCATGCTTTTTCCTGTCACTAAAAGTGAGATCTCCACGCTGTGTCCTTGTCCCCTCCCCAGACCTCTGATAGAGCTGTTTGACCTTCGCTACTACCTGGCAGTGCCGTACGAAGAGTGCAAGAGGAGGAGGAGGTGAGAACGTTCCTGGCTGTGCATCCAGTCCTTCCCTCTGCTCCTTTACTTTGCTCTTGGGCATGGAATCCTGGAATGGTTGGGGTTGGAAGGGACCACCATCCCAGGCTGCTCCAGCCTGGCCTTGAATGCTTCCAGGGCTGGGAATTCAGTTTCTGGGGTGTATTGGTGTCATGAATTGGATTTGAATACAAGTGGACAAAGGGAATTTGCTGTGGTGAGCTTGGCATCACAGGCTGGGGTTGGAGAAGACCTGTGAGACTGAGTCCAGCCACAGCCCTTCACCACTGCCCACGTCCCCAAGTGCCACATCCATCCTTTCCAAACACAGGCATGGCAGCTCCACCACTGCCCTGGGCAGCCTGTGCTGATCCTTTACAATCCTTTCAGTTAAAATTTTATTTCCCAATAGCCAACCTAAAGCTCAGGCCCTCCTGACATTCCTTTTCCGTGCTGTTTTTTCCCAGTACACGGAACTACACGGTCCCTGACCCCCCGGGCCTCTTTGATGGCCACGTCTGGCCCATGTACCTCAAACACAGGAAGGAGATGGAGGACTCTGGGGTGGATGTGGGTAAGTCCCAAACACAAATCCCTCAGCCTTGGGGTTGGAATTTAAGGAATTGGGTGATTTCATTCGAGGAAACTTCCACTGTGATGATGCAAAGTGCTATTTTTACTCCCAAGTTGTAATCCTGGCCTACTTTGGATAAATCCAGGCAGTTTTAGAGCTAAGAACTTACTCCCTTTGCTTTACACTCTTAAGGACTTAGAGGGGATAAAAAAATTAAAAAGAAAAGGAAGGAATTTATAATGGAGTAAGGATTTCACAGGCCATTGCGTTTTCAGGATGGTTCTGTTTTCCCAGTAGGAAAACAAGCTGTCCTTTGGGTCAGTAAAATATGAAATATTTAAAAACTAATCTCCCAAAACCTTGTTCTGATGGGAAGCCCCAGCCTGACTCCCCCTTTTTTCTCCCAGTTTATTTAGATGGCCTGAAGTCGAGGGATGAACTCTACAACCAAGTCTTTGAAGATATTCACAACAAGCTCTTAAATTGCTCATAGGTAACTCAAATCCAGAGGGCTGGGACACGGGGGGTTGTGCTGGGAACAGCCTGGATCTCACCCTTTTTCCCTTCCTGCTTTCCAGGGTCTGGGAAGTTCGGGAAGAGCCGTGTACAGCGCGATGTAAATAATACTTGGAAGTGGGAATGGGGGATGTTTGTGTGAACTCCTCTCCCACTGCCCTGTGGCAAGTCCCTTCTGTATATAATTGAAAACTGAGGATAACTTATTCCCACCACATGGACAGGATTGCCTTGTTGGGGGTTTTTTTTTGTAATTATTTTATATTCCACTGGCTTACAGAGAAGTTGGAAACAGCATTTTTATAGCAGAACCAGTAGAGCTGTGCTGGGAAAGCAAGAGAGCTCCTGCAGACAGGAAGGCTTTGTGCAAGGCTTGTTTGTAACCTCAATTCAGTAAAAATCCATTTCAGCCTCCTTTTGAGGTGCTGATTTAATTCATCACTCAGCTTTTATTGCAATAAAAATTGCGACAAAGCTCATCCAAAACACAACAACAGTCGCTTTTTCTGGGGTTTTTGAAATTCTAGCCCTGGCTGGCTTCAGAGCTCTTTCCACGTGTCACTGGTTGGGTTTGGGTGCTCACACAGGCCCCAGCCAGGTGGGGATGGCTCAGTTTGTAAATTTCAATCCATGATGTGAAAAGGGGGGATTTCTCAGGGAATGAGAAACGAAAACTTTGCTTCCCTAGGAACCATTTCAGGCATTTAAAGCTAAAACACCACCCCAATTTCAGCGTGAGACAGAGCAGTGCCATCCCTGCCTGTCCACACAAACCCTGGGAGCTCTCAGGAACTGGAATTACTCGGCTGTGGGGGGGTCCCTTCCCAAGATTTTGGGGCCTGAATTAGAAACAGAGCTCTGGAAAAGCAGCTGCCACAGATTAGTGAGGAGTCACCCAAAATCCCACCGAGGGGGAGGCCAGATCCACCTCCCTGTCCTACTCCAATGATTTCCCAGTTGTCCTGAGCAGAGATGCCATGGCCAGAAAGGGCTCTGGCTCCTGCTGGCTTCCCCAGGCTATAAAAAGGGAGATTTCCTGGTGAGCAGCACCGAACGTGCCTGGGGACACCCACCCCACTCTGCTGTCACCGTGCCAGGGGCAGGGACACCCTGCTGTCACCCAGCTCCCTCCTTCCCGCAGGGAACGTTCCCCACGAGCTCCCAGGGCTGCAGCCCTGCTTCCAGTGCTGTTTCCCCAGACCTCCAGGGCTTGGATTAAGCCCTGCAAAAGCGTTTGGGGTTTGTGAAGACTTATAAGGGAAAAGCCCTCGCTCCCATCTCCTGCCAAACTCGGGGGAGCAGAAATCGAAGCCTAAAAAAGGCGTTTTGGTGTCTCTGTCCACAGAGAAGGAAATGTCGTGGGGTGCAAAGAGGGAACTGGAGCAGAACATCCTGGTGACAGCACCAGAATCCCCGTGGGCAGCACATCCCGTTCATTCCCGACACCAGAAATCATGAATCACACCCCAAATTCTGCTTTTTTAGAGCTATTTCCATGTCCTTTTGTGTATCCACGTGGGTGAGATCCCCTGCTGCTCCAGGGCCGGGGTGAATGACCAGTGACTTCCAAGGGCCTTTTGGGAGTGTGAAACCCAAACCCTCGGCACGAAGGGAATCCGGGAAGGATTCTCACTATGTGAACTTTGCCCAGCTCGGCAGCAGCCGGGACTGCAGGATTTCCATACATCCCTTCACCCTCTGCTGCTGGGGCTCCATCCAAATCCACAGCCCAAAGCCTCCCCAGGACACAGGGCCTGGATGGGGCAGGCTGAGGGCTCCAAGCCCCCCTGGCTGTCCCCTCAGCGTGGCCGGAGCCCGTGGCTGTGCTGGACGCTGGGACAGCCCCAGTCACGCCATGGGAGCCTTGGCAGGGAACACCGGGGCAGATTAAATTCTCAGCAGGTCCACGTGTCCCACGGACGAGGATGAAACCTACACCTGCAGGCACGTCAGCAGGGACAGGGACATGGGGCACGGCCCCCCTGATCCCCCCAGGGGCCACAGCACAGTGACAAATCCTAAACAGAGCAAGTTCCCTGGGCCTGGAGGTGACACCACCCTGGCCAGCCGGGGGGGATGCCTGCCATCCACTGGGATTTGGCTGGTGATTCCCCCGGATCAAATTCAGCTGGATCTTGGCTCCGTGGGGCCACAGGCAGTCAGAAAGCCCTGGGTACTCCCAGGGGAACCCTTCCTGCTCTGGTGTTCCCCAGAACGTGGTGCTTTGGGACCTGGCCCCCAAACCTGGGAACACCCCACAAACATCACCCTCCACACCCACAGCAAGTTCCCCCACCAGCACTGGGTCTCAGTAGGAAAAAAAAGCATTTCCCCCCCCAAATGAAGGAAATGCCTCTGGGCTGGGAGCCCAGTGGGGGAGCTGTCACCACAGGGCACATCCTTATCCCCCTCCCAACCCCGTCCCGCCACGGCAGGAGCTGAGGCTACACAGAAACCTTTATTCTGGGAAAGGGGGAGCCAGGGCTGGGACAGGGGACAAGGGCTGCAGCACCTTGGGGGGAACAGGGGGCACAGGGGCCACCCGAGGGCTGCAGTGAGTCCTTGGTCCCAGCCCACGCGTGGCTGCTGTAGTGCAGAGGGGGGCTGTGCCCACCAAACCCCCCTAGGGCAGCTCAGGGACCCGGGTGGGGGCACGAACGGCCCGGAGCGTGGTGACGGGGAGCGTGGGGACACGAGCCAGGCACAGGGAGCTGCACGCAGGAAGCCAAACCCCAGGGTGGCACAGCCCCAGCCCCCCGAGGCGGGGGCTCCAGGGAGGCACAAGCACCCCCTGCACAGCGGCAGGGCCAGGGGACGCTGCCTGGGGGCGAGCAGGGGGTCCGGGGAGCTGCAGAGCCCCCGGGGCCGGCGCGTTAGCGGATGCTGCCGTCGCCCTCGCTGCTCTGCAGCTTCTCCCGCTCGATGGACCACACCAGCTCCTGCACAAACTTCATCTCCGAGGCCACCTGCTTGGCCAGGGCCTCGTAGTGGTTCTCCAGCTTGCGGTAGCGCCGCTTGAGCCCGTTGGCCGCCTGCACCACGCTCTTGGTCTCCTCCTGCGCCTGCTTCTTCAGCGCCTCCGTCTTCTGCAGCTCCTGCCGGATCTGCCGCAGGTCCTGGCTGATGCTCTCGTTCTCCTCTTTGTACCACGACTCCTTCTCCTCGTAGATGGACAGCAGCGCCTCAATGTCCTCCTGGAAGGACTTCTTGTTCCTCTCCAGCTCCCGCAGGCTCTCCTCGGCCGCAGCCACCTCCTCCATGACCTTGGAGAAGCGCTCGAAGTTGATGTAGGTGTTGTTGGGGGGCATGCTGGAGTGGGATTTGATGGTGTACTCCTTCAGGCGCGTCGTCTTCAGCCGGCGCCGCTCGGGCTTCTTGCAGCTGTCCTCATTGCGGACGTTCCTCCTCTTGATCACCTGTGGCAAGGACAGTGGTGGCTGCGGTGACACCCAACCGGCCCCCACGGGGGTGAGGGAGCAGCAGAGCCCCGGCCCTGGGGGGTCAGACACCCCAAAAGTGCCAATTCTTTAACTTCTCACCTTAATCCAGGGGTGCTCCAGGCTCTGGGCGATGGTCATTCGCTTCCTGCAAACACAGCAAGGCTGGGATCAGGGCAGAGGCTTTGTTCTGATTTCCCTGTTAAAGCCCTGGGACAGCAGCTTGGATCCTGTGGGGTCTGGCTGAGCCTGGATAAACTCGCTGCACTCAGGGCCCCCCCAGGCAGGAGCTGCATCCAGCCCCCAACTCCTCAAACTGCCTCCCAAGAGAAACACAGGCAGAGCATCCCTGGGAGCCTCCCAACCCCTCTGCTCCTTCCCAAACCCTGAGGCCTGGGGGCCCAGCTCAAAGCCTCCCAAACCTCAGTGGAGCTACTGCACCCTTGGGGGATCCCAGAATTCACCCCATCCTGGCTCAGGCAGGAGAGGGGGAGCTGCCTGTACACAGCAGGCTGGGCAGGGGGGACTGTCCCCTCTCCCAGAGGAACCCCCAGCTCTGCTCCCTGTCCCTCACTTGGGGTCCTTGACGAGCAGGCGGCGGATGAAGTCCTTGGCCAGCTCACTGGTGTTGCTGAAATATTCCTCATCGAAGTCGTAGTTGACAGCAGAGATGTTGGTCAGCGTCTCCTGCTTCGTCTCCCCCAGGAACGGGGAGGCTCCACTCAGCCTGAGAAAAGAGAGGGTTGGGACACCCCAAAAAGGCTCCAGCCCGAGGTGGGGGGCTGATCCTGCAGCCCTGTCCCCTCCAGGGCTGCCTCATACTCACAGGATGTAGGTGATGACCCCGATGCTCCTGGAAGAGAGAGGGAGAGGAGGCTGAAGTCACACAGAGGCACGAGGGGGTTGGCTGGCTGCTGGAGCCATGGGAAGGGGCTCAGGAGGGAAATCACTCACCACATGTCGGCCTCCAGCCCCAGGGGTTCGTAGTTCACGATTTCTGGGGCTTTAGGAGCAAAGGGGAGAACATGGGTTTATTGTGGGGGAAGGAAGCCTGGCCCCATGGACACACCCTGGCAGCAGCACCAGAGTGCTGGGTGTCTCCTCCAGGATTAATCCAAAGCTTTCAGCACCCTGAGGAACCCCCAGGAACGCTCACCTACAAACTCTGGGGTCCCAAAGATATTCTTGAACTCATTCCCAGCCTCGATCTTGTGGGCGATCCCGAAGTCAATGAGTTTGATGCGAGGGTTTGGCACGTTCTTGTCCAGCAGCATGATGTTCTCTGGCTGTGGTGGGGAGAGGAGCTGGCTCTGTCCCTACACACCAGCCTGTGGGAGGCTGGGCTCCTCATTCCAGAGGAGAGGATGTGCCTCAAGTTGGGACAGACCCCAAGCACTGATCCTGCAGTGCAGGAGGGCACTGCCCCCCACTTCTCAGCTCTGATTTCCAGAGCCCAGCTGGGGGCTCATCCCTGCTCCCAGTGCTGGACACAGGGCAGCTCCCAGAGCTCACCTTCAAGTCAAAGTGGGCAATACGCTTGGAGTGCAGGTAGTGCACCCCATCCAGGATCTGCTTGAGGAACTGGGTGGCCTCCTCCTCCGTCAGGGATTCCTTCTCGGCCAGGAAATCGAAGAGCTCCCCTCCGGACACCAGCTCCAGGATGAGCACCACGTCGGTCTTGTTCTCGAAGATGTCGTGCAGGGTGATGATGTTGGGGTGCTGGATCTCGCGCAGGATGTCCACCTCGCGCTCGATCTCCTCGCGGCTCACGCCCCTGCGGCTGGACGACAGCCGCCGCTTCTTGATGAACTTGGCCGCGTATTCCAGGCCCGTCTTCCTCTCCCGGCACTTCCGGACGATGGCGAACTGGCCGCTGTGGGGTGAGGGGAGGAGCTGCAGGCTGGGGATCTGCAGGACGCCCTTTCCCCCCGGGAATGCCATGAACTGGGGTCTGGTGATGCCCGCCTGCTCCCCGGCTTTGCGCCAGCCCGGGTGGAGGAAGGAAATTCCTCCCAGGAATGTGGAATGTCAATTCTCCCTGGGCTGTTG